GGCCACCGCCATCACACCGGCACCGGCACCGCACTGCCACCGGGGCGGGACGGGGCGGGACTGGGGACGGGCCGCCCCGCGCTGCCTACAAAATCTGCTGCTGGAGGCGGGTCTGAGTCTGCACAGGAGCGGGCTGGTCGCTACGCGGAGGTGCAGCCGACCCGTAACCCCCCTCTCGGGCACCCCCGGAGCTGGGTGCTGCCCGCCCCGGGTGTGGGGGCTGCGGATTTCTGCCTACGAGTATCAAATAATCGGGTTTCCTCAGTGCTTGAGGCTGCAGGGTAGCTCTGTGAGTAAAGGTTTGTACAGGCATGGCTGGAGTAGGAGTACAGATGTATTTTCTTGAGCTGTCCCAGCATCCCAGTGGAGTTGCTCACCAGTGTATGGCGTGGTGGGCTTTTTACTCGCAGCAATTATTATTTTTTTTAGAACCCGGCTAGTTTCTGGGAGAGACTGCTAGTTTAGCACAATAGGAATATTCCCCATGGATTTGAGAGGGCACATGCTTACACCTTCTTTGTGCCTTCTAAAGTTGAAGCACATTTTCTCTCCTAATAAGAATTCAGAGTAATAAAGGGTTATGTAGAGCCAGATGTTGAAAGGTACCGCATAGCACCAACTTAGAGTTCAGAGTCTGATATTTTTTTTATGCTAATGTTGGCACCAAATCCATTAAAATTACTTTCTGTTTTCTCAGCTGCCTTGACATTGGGTGTATCAGCGGGGACAGTACAACAAACCAAGTTGCACAATGACAAAAGACTTTGTCAAGCAAATAAAACAATTTTCCTTCAGCAAACATGTGACAGTTCAGGCACTGATGTGCTGAACCTAGTTAGAAAGATTTGAAAGAAAGAAGATTTGAAAGAGTTTTCTTTCAAATCAACCGATTTACCAATGTTATTTTAAAAAATAAGCATACTATTATTTTCTAATAAGTAATGACATTTATTAAACTTGTCATTGAGGACTCATATGAGGGTTAGGTTGAGAAAAATAACAGCTACCTGAAAAGCCCAGCCCTGCAAGGTTTGTACTCTGCTATGGGACTGTTCCTTGGAAACAGTGAGCTGCTGGTAATTTCGGGACTGGTGTGCAGCTGTAGTACCCAAGAGGAGATGAGTTTCAAGGGTGGCTCTGTGGAAGACAAGGAGATTTGTCGCTAATATGGATCAGGGCTTTGCTATCTTTCTGTTTTCACTGCAGGGTAATTTAGGTGGAGCTCTGCATAAAGCGATAACGTTCACTCGAAGGCTTAGTCCGTTTCCTCATTTCTGGTCTGATTCTGCCCTTTGGCAGCAGAGGGTGCTGTGAAGTTGCTGAAGCTCTGCAAGTGAGAGGGGAAGGAGACCTCCAAGCTGGGCTCTCTTCTGCCATCAGCTGGAGGACAGGATCCCTGATGAGCCAGGGGGCCTGAGCCCCTGGAGACAGGAGCGAGGGAAGGAGCGTGTCATTATCTGCATCAGGGATCTGTGCCTGAGGGAGAGGGGCTCCGCCATTTTAGGGGCTGTGCTAAATCTGCTTCATCTGGCTGCACCAAGCAGCTCTTTCCACAGTTCTTTATCCAGGGCTGGCTGTGATAGCTCAGTTTCTTCTTGAATTGCAGCCACCGAATTTACCTAAACATTTGCATCATGACCACTGTGTATTGTGTACTTCCATGCTGCTTACCATAGTAAAGCTCTGCTGAGTGGCTTTCTTAGACACTACTATAATGGAAAGAATAAATAAATGCTGAGACCAGAAGACATGTAAAATGCTTTCACGTGATTTTTTTTCTTTATTAGGTTGTATGCAGACTTTGATAACATGTGGTAATTCAGATGGACAGGGCCTCTGAAGGACTCTAGTCCAAGCTCAGGGGTTCACCCTTTCCAGGCTGGATGAGGTTGTGCAGGGCCTTCCTCATACAGCTGCACTGGGAAAACCTCCTCCCCCTCTGTAATTGGGCTCTTGCCCCAGCACTCCATCACTCCCACTGGGAGAACGTCTTCTCATATCTAGAGAGAATTTCCTTTGCTGCAACCACATTGAAAGGTCAGCGTCTTCATCTTGCCACTGAATCTTAAAAGCACAACTGTTTTACAGTCTAGGATTTCCCCGGGCTGGACCCTGAAGCTGGTTAGGCTGGTCTCTGGTGGAGGAGAGGAGGGGTGACAGTGTAAAATGCATCTGCTGTTTCTGTTCTGAATCCTCTCATGTTAACTCCCTGTGAGTCTCCCCTTTAACAGCAGTTTCAGGTTGAAATTTCAGCCAAATGCTATATATTTTCCCTTTGCAGCAGTGGGGAAGGTGCAATTAGCAGATAGGGCGTAAAAAATGGCACCTTGCTTAGGAGAGGATTTTTGCAGCCCTGTTTATATGTGTTCAACCAAATTGTGCTGGCTGGTAAAAATAGCATTGTAGAGAGTAAGCTCATGCTTCCTTTTCAGTATTTGAATGAGTGTGCTTCACCACATTTTATCAGTTTACGATTTTAGGGTACTGAGATTAGGAACATGTACTGATGTGTGTGGGTGCTCAACAACTCAACAGTGCCAAGAAGCAAAGAAAATGCCAGTTTACATTTTGGTTTGCATCTTCAGTGCATAGTGCTGGTATGAAGGGTGAGGGCTTTCAGCTTGTGTGTGTGCTGTGAATTTCTAGGCTCTTCTGTTTCTCTGGAAATACAGAAGGAGGAGGAAAAAGACAGATCTTAGATCAAAACCAAAAGGAAAACCTGGAATTGGTTCTTGTATTTGCTTGAACAAGAACTGAATCTGAGGAAGCGTATTTTACCCTTTTTTAGCAGGCTAGGTGCAATTCCAAGGTCTTGACTTCCTTTGAAATCTCAATGTCAATTTTTAAAGTCTGACTGAAAATGTACGTGGTAAGATGACTTTGAATATTCTATCACTTAGCAGGTCATCCACTGTCATACCTGTATGTGTCATGGTAGTGAGGGTCCTGTGGTGGGTTTTGTTTTCAATGAGAGTGAAGCCATTTAGCTTTGCTTTGTAGCCAAAGCCTCTACTGATGCAAATGAGCGTGATTCTAGAGAAGGTCGTAGGGCTACAGAGATTTTAAGGAGATTTGAAAAACTGGACTCTTTATCTACAGTTTTATGTAAGGTGATGTCCAATAAAGAAAAGAATATTACTAATTTTGTTGGGTTTGTGTTGTTGTTGTTGTTTTACCTGTACTTTGAAAAGAGCTCTGAAGCTTTTCTGCCTCTTGTATTTAGGTGCTGTCTACCTTGATTTTCTTTTTTATGAAAATTTATGCACGAAGAGGATATTAACAAAAGAACAAGAGACACTGCATGTGCTATTGTAGTGACCCATGATCAGGTCTGATTCAGACCGAGACAGGCACAACGCTTTCGCTGAGGCTGTTTGATACTTTTGAGCACTGAATTAATGCAGTTGCTTATCAGAAAATTGGAAGAAAAAGATTTGTTGAGAGGAGAAAAATTCCCCATCAAGTTGGCATTTCTATTACTTCTTAAAAGAGCCAGTCTCATCCAGTTTATCATACAAAGCTTTGATTGTGACTTCAAAGTGATGCTGAGGGCTTGCAAAGTTGGACAAGCACTCTTGTTGACTCAAAGGCTTTGCGTGACTGTTTAAGTTGAATTAAGTTAGTATTTCAGTATGTGTCAGAGAGAGAAGCAAAAGCTTTGGGGACAGCTGAAACAGTAGGTGATGTGAAGGTTGATAGAGAAAGATGAAAACCTTTCCTTCTATATCAGTCATCTCAGTAGCTTGTCTGGATAACAGGTTCATAGAAATCCCCTTTTTTTCTTTTTTTAATGCAGGATTGATTCTACTGGGTGTATGAAGGAGGGAGAGGGTAACTACGGAACAGGAAGATGCTGTGCTGAAATTGCCTCAGGCTACCGTCTGGAAGGTAAGAGAAGTTGTGCAATGTCTTAGTAAAACCTTTCTTCCTCTAATGCTCGATCACCTTTCCAAAGTTAATTACAGAAAAGAGGAAAAAGTGAAATGTAGCATTGCCCAAAGAGCGTGAGTCCCCTGGAGAGGTTTGCACTAACAATCAGGCCCCAAAATGCGATGCTTGCAACCTCCTCTGGAAATATGCTAGCACTCTGCGTCAGGTCCGACACCCTGCCCTCAGATGAGAGGTCTCTCCATTGTTTCCCCACTTCCTCTGAGCCCTTCCTTCAGCTCTGTCTTCAGATTTGCTGTTACATAACACCATCTTCATAAAACATCAGGAATTTTCTAAAACCGCAGCTATTGCATATGTGGCTTCATCAAGGCTGAAACGCCAAAGCACCACCTCTCTCCTAGGATTCAAAGGAAAGGGAAAGAACGAGCAGAAATGATCTGTTGAAGTGGATTCCCTATTTCTGTTCTTGTATGGAGATCCAGGTCAAACATGCTACTCCCCTGCCTTAGTGTCATAATAATATTTTTTTTTCTTGCAGCCATTGTAGTTGTTTATACAGGCTAAATGTAATGTTTGCTGTTATGAAAGTCTATCCAGAAGCCAAAATACACACCCTTCTGTCTTCCCTGGGATGATCAGTACATTGTTTATGGTTAAGCTAAAGGACCCGCTGAGTTAACTCACAAATCAGAAGAGACTCCTCTCTGCAGCTATTTCAGAGTAACAGACATACACTGTGACAGCGTGGTTGAAACTGCTCTGCTGTCTGGGCAGCTCTACAGAGCTCCAGAGATTTATAGTCTTTGAAATGCTCCTGTATCGCTACAGAACTGAACTTTAAGCTTGTAGTTCTAAAATCACGAGCTTATGCTCCCTTAAGTTCAGTAATGCCCCTCAGGAAGCCTCAATTCTAAGGGTGTCAGAAAGCACTACACATTTTATCAATGTGTAAAGTAAGATCTGTCCCACTCTCACCAAAGAGAAATGCTAACATTTTTTGCTGTGGCTATGGTAA